TCATCTAAATGCGGGTTACTTTCTTGGTCAAGTGCTGTTGGTATTGACTTTTCACATTCGATATCCATGATTGATTCGTTTGATGTATCGGTCATCGTTGATATTTGGAAAATGATCTTCTGCTCAACAGTACTTGTCATCACATTATAATTTACATAGTATGTATGGTTATTTTGAAGCAAAAGCAACTAATGCGTAAGTATTTTCTTTTTAATGAAACTAACTATGTACATATATATGATAATGATAATGTTATAGTGCTCTTAGAACAATTCTCAATAAGCGACCATTTGTTTTGTCACGTTCAACATTTGCTGGCTCAGGTCACTACACAGGTCATTGGTCTGGTGATAATGATGCTTCGTTTACAGACCTTTACCGGGCGATACCTGGTATGTTGTAGATTCCTCAGGGGAGAATTGTAGAACTTCGTTATCCAACCCTAATATGCAAATTTTTCTTAGGCAAAGCAAACTGAATACAGTAGCGTTAATTCTAGATAAATTTAAATCTTGCTCTTCTCATCTATTTAGCTATTCTCAACTATAATATATTCGGATTGACACTTTCTGGTGCTGACATTTGTGGCTTTAATGGTGATACTACAGAAGAACTATGCACAATATGGATGCAACTAGGTGCTTTCTATCCATTTATGAGAAATCATAACGTAATTGGTGCTAAGGTAAACATTATTCAATAAAAATAATCATGCATAAAACTCAATAAATAGTAGATTGTAAAAGAAATCTTATAAAATTGAACAGAGTTCATAGCAAGTCTTCATTAATGACTGAAGAGTATGATCTGAAAAAAAGTCATTTTCTATCCACGTAAAATTTACTTTCTGACTTTTTGCATAGCTTCGATGACGCATATTCATTGGAAGATTAATATTTGAACTATCTAAATGACTCATATTTACCTTTCAAATTTTCTTAGGCTCAGGACCCAGCAGCTTTCTCATGGGAAACTCAACAGATCATGAAACAAGCATTATTTATGAGATATTCACTGCTTCCATATTGGTACACACTTTTTTAAAGCAAGTACGACTTCAACAACAGTGGTAGAACCACTCTTCTTCGAGTATGAACTATTCTATGAAAACTTGTCTATGAAATTCAATACTATCTCTCTCTCTGATTTAGATATCCAAATGATGAGAATACTTATAATATTGATCAACAGTTCCTCGTCGGTCCTGCTATTCTTGTTTCTCCAAATTTAGTTTCAGTAAATAACTTCACATAATGAAATGACTTGGAAAACGTTTTCATCTTTGATTGTTTAGAATTCGTCTACTGTTCATGCTTATGTTCCACAAGATGTTTGGTATGAATTTTCATCTGGTAAACAAATAACAACAGTAGGACAATATGTAGATTTTGACGCACCAATTCGAAAGATTAATGTTCATGTTCGTTGTGGGTTTATTATTCCGATGCAAATACCTGGGCCTAATCTAGTTATCGGTCGTGGTAATCCATTTATATTACTGGTTGCATTGTCACAATCGGGAAACGCCAGTGGAAGTCTTTTTTGGGATGATGGTGATTCTATGGGTATGTTAAAAGTACTCGTGTTTGGGACTTGAAAATTGTATGCTGTTATAATTTAGATACGATTGAAACTAAAACGTACAACTACTTCGAATTCAATGTGACAGCATCAGTAAGTATTTAGTATCTACAATCGTTGAGAAGTTCGATATTGTCTCGATAATTGATAAACCCTGGAAGAGATAAGAATATCAACACAATAGGAACGACTCTTTCATCTAAAACTATTGATTTTTTCCATGCTTATGAGTTCTTTTCTTCACTGTTTCACCTATATTATAGAATGTCTTGACAATTAATGCTTTGGTAACAAATTACAAAGATTCCTCAATGGCATTAGATATGTAAAAGTTCTTGGTTTGCATAGAAGTGTAACTAGCGTGAATGTTAATGGAAAAGCTTACTCAAATTTTGTTTATAATACTCCTAATGATGTATGTATTTGATATCATCGATTCTACCAGATAAAAAAAACTATGATCTATCGTGGATACTTTAGATTTTAGTTATTTACGGACTTGATTTGAATATGTTGGGTGAAACAAGTCAAATAATAGAATGGAAAACAACAGATTGATAATGTCACAAAAAAAGAAAATGATTATTTTTTTTGTGATAAAAATTCATGTTTTCTTTTCATCGATGTCTTCCGCATTATTAATTTATAGTCTTTTTATATCTATGATTTCGAGCTTTTTCTTGTATTAATTCTTTTATAGAAAATAAGCATGTGCAGTTTGATTCGACGAATAAATAAACAAGTTTATCGAATGATTACAATCTGCTTTTAGATGCCAGATACACAATTCGCCTATGTAAATGTTTTTGTACTTCGAAACGTATCCTTAGTAATACTATGGAAGCATTTAGACGCAGTTAAAGATACAATCACATACAGCTGCGGTTGTCCATAAATATCGGCTGTGACACATGTTTTTAGATAAGAATGTGTTCGATACAATTGATTAAAAATAAAAATAAAATTATTTCAGTTTATCTCAGGTTTGATTTGAGCCACTATTGATGTGCTCTAGCGTTGGTCTTTACCTAGGGTATTGTTGTAAGTATGGGTGTTGGTGTAGGTACAGACTCCGACGATACTTACTCCCACATCCTACACTCACACCACATAAAATGATTCAAGAGCGTTGACATGATTGTCAAGAAATTCATTGGTTGTATGATGCAATTACATAATAAAAGAGCAATACATATCATTGTGCTTTGTTCTTTAACTTCTGATCCATATTCTAAAAAAAGATGTAGACATTTCTCGGTATGATCTAGTTAGATGTAGAACAAAAATGAATTCAAAGGTCAAGAAAGTAGTTTATCATATCAGGAGTTTAAAAATATAGGTTTGAAGTTTCTCTCGGTGTGGGTAGGTATGAGTGTGGGCTACAAGAAACAAAAACACACACCTCAACCCTCTAAAAGATTTGATGAAATTATTAGAAAATAAAATGAATTCATTGAAAGATTTCTTCTTGGAAAAACTTAAATATATTGAACAACAAAATGAAATAAATATAACCAACAAATATTTATATGTGCTTTCCTAAGACAAGAAATTTAATTAAATATTGAATGCATTATGTCGTTTGAATCTATTTGTTATGCTCAAGAGGAGAATTCAAAAAAAATAAATATATTGACTACATAAATGTTTCTGATTAAAATGTCGACTCCATAAGATGTGTACTTAGGAAATCATAAATCTCCATTATTTTATTTTATAAATTGGTCTAAACATATCTGGAAACATTCTTTTTAATGTTTTCAAAATGGATAAAAAAAACAAGCAAAACATTAAGACGAACTTCGAGTATCGAACTGTCCACACAAATAAATGAGTTGAATATCACTGAATGAATAATTATATAATTTGTACATAATATTTCATGACATTTAATTAATACTTAGAAATCTTCATCACTTTCTGTTTTAACACTATTCTAACCAATTAATTGTTATTAAACCTTAACAATTTACTTTAAGATACTCATATGAAGATAAAAAAAATCTTCTTTCGTTCAATATCATATTTTTGTTTTTTTTTCAATCAAGACTGGGTACACACTTTATTATTTAATTGATTTTTTGCGATGCCAATGATCAACAAAATACTAACATACATTAGAATATGATCTTTACTTCTCCCCAAAATCTTTTTTTCTTTTGCAAAAATATTTCTAATGAATTTCAAAATGATTGACTCATGCGAAAGTCTAATCAAACAGTAATAGTAAAGACTAATTTAAATATATATTTCAAATTATGGAATTCTTTATTTTCATTAACAAAAAACAAAAGAAATTAATTTTAAGATTTCTTTTTTCATTTTGATGATGTTGAGGGAACTAATAGAACTGAGTCACTATCATTTTTTGTTTGATTTTCTTTGATATCATCAACTAATTTGTTTGCCAACAAACTAGAAACCTTATGATCACGTTGTAAATGTTGTTTTAATTGGTGAAGTATAATAAATCGAGGTTTACAGGTTACAGTTACTCCGTTTCGTTCATTATATTCTGATGAATTAATTTGTCCACAACAAATTGGACATGGAACTTTATAAAAATGATTAATTACATTTTCATTTTTATTGAACAATTTTGTTATCCTAGGATCTTGACGTTCAACAACAGCTCGTACTAAACGTTGAGCATAAACATTTTTTAATCGATGCTTGTTAATAAAATGAATATATAATTCGAATTGACGAGTTTTTCCTTGCTTACAAAATTCAATAGAATGATTTGCTTCAGTAAGACCATATGCTCCATTGAATGTTAATGGACATTTACGAAAAATTCTTCTATATGGTTTTTGTTTAGGTTTATTTTCTTCATTTACATGTTGATCCTAGAAAAAAAAGAATGTTTAAATATCATGTAGAATTCATAATTTAAACATATACAAAGGACAATCAATCAAGTCTATAATAGATATCGTAACAGAGTTGACTGTAATATAGAAAAGCCTAGCAATATCGAGAAGGATGAGGAATGATATTCATTCTTTCTGATTTCATATGAAATTTAAACTGAAAATAAGGTATTGTATATTAAAATTTTCTACTTTTTTTTGTATACGAAATTCATTTCAATAGTTAATTCGTATTCTCATTAAATACTTTGATAAGTAAATCTATGAGATATGAATATTTCACACATTAGAAAAGCAGTACATTGTTCTGTGAGAACTTTATCAATTCAGAAATATGCTGTACTAAATAACTTGTTGTAAATATAGCGAAAAAAGTTTCGAAGCCAAATGCAAAGCTGTAAGGAAAAACAAACGCAACTGTCCATAATTCAACAATTGACTTCTTCTTTAAAATCATTTTTACCTCAATTGAATTCGTTGTTTCGCTGAAAAAAAATATACAATCAGTTTCGAATCTTTTCTAAAAACAAAAAAAAAAGAGAAACTTACTCCATTGAAACAGCTTCCATAGAATCATGATTGATATCTGTTGAATATTCATCATCTTAAACCAATCATGTTTATTTTTCCTTTTAAAATTAAAAGATATTTTGACTTACCTTTTGAGATTCTCAATTCTTCTGTTACATCTAAACATCCAAAAAACACTTATATTTCGGAGACTTTTATCATTCTACGAGGCAACTATATGAATCGCTCAGAGTAAGATATATTCAAAAAGAAGTTCACCGAAATATATCTACAGCGAAGAAGATGCTTATTAAATTTGAAATAAGTAGCCACTGGCTAAAATTCATTTGGAAATAAAAGCTCCCGGTAAATGGACGTTATTTTTTTTTACAGCTCAAACTTATGTCTATGGATACTTGTAGATCGATAATTCGGTAGAAAAGTCATGATTTGATTCATTAACTACAACTAGTTTTATTGAGGGTTCAACCAAAACAAACAAATATATTTTAGAAAGAAATTTCATTTTACCATTTGAATCCATGTTTTCCTTATTACATTTGCAAGAACATGAACAATATTTAGTTTCTGATAATGACGGTTCGACTTTCACTGTGATTTCTCCTTTAATAAAAGAAAAAAATATACAAAAAAAAAATTTGATTATCTGATTTCGCTTTTACCTAAACGATTTGATACGATTGTTTGATTAATTTTTTCGATAATATTTTTTAATTCATCTATTGAACTACTGGGTTCGTCAAAAATTTTTTTTGCTTGTTCAACTACATTTTGTTCACGTTCAATATTTAGTTTCAGTGTATATACAACTGTATTTAATTCATTACGAAGATTACCCAATCGTTGTTTATTTTCTTTTACTTTTTCAGTATGTTTACTCAAATGATGAAAACAAACAAGACGTAAACAACAATGACATTCATATAATTCTTTGATTTCATTATCACATGATATATCGGTACATGAACCTTTTTCGGGCATTTCTAAAAAAAAACAAGTAAACAATCTGTAGTATTATAGTGTTTATCACGACCAACTAAATGACCAATAAATACATAAATAGAAAAGAAAAAGAATCCAGGACAATGAATGCTATCATTCTTCGTTTTATCGAATACAATAATTTTCCTTCTCATCAATGATTCATCGTATGACTTCACAACAAAACTATGAACAATTAAAGATAGAAAGTTTTCAATGTGTTCAAGAGATATTTCACGATTCAATCAAGAAATTATGTTATATAAATTGTGTTAATCTATGTAATAGATACAAAAGTGCACTCAGAGAATTCGAATATAGAGTATCATGCTATTCTTTGAATTTATAACGTACTTTTTTTTTGTGATTGGGGAAAGAAAAACAATCGAAAATCAGAAATCTCGAAGTGTAAGTGAATCACAAAATTCCAAATATAGAAAATGTTGAAACGTTTTTAATATTGCATTTTCTAAGAATTCGCTTTGTTAAATGGAGATATACTTATAATCTTTTTCTTTATCTTGAATGCAAAAATAAAATATGATGAAAAATTTATTATATTTTCAATTCAAATGTACGATGACGGGATTTTGAAGTAGATATAAAATAATGAATTAATGNGTCTTGAGGTCTAAAGAATCTCATCACAAGAAAAATAAAAATATGCGAGCATGCTACGTGCGAGATAACTTCATTTGAGTCATTACTATCTCGCTTGTAAACAGAAACCTTAAAATTCTGGTAAATGATGGACATAAAAGCGTTTGGACTAATTTTCAGCATACTCCATCCTGACTGTTTATCGACCTGGTTATCTAAAAAAAAGGAGTGTAATGAATTATAATCGATACAAAGTTTATTCACAGTCAATGAACGTTTCTCTAAATCTTGTTATATTACTCCATGTGTTTCAAACTGTTTATGCAAAGTTGTTCCAACAGCTGGCAAATATCTCGTTTTATAATAAAAATAAAATTCATTCCACATAAACTGCAAACTATTCACGAATGGGTGGTGTAAACGATCCTCTGGTTTCACTTTGCATCGCAGAAGAAGTTATCTCGCACGTAGCATGCTCGCATATTTTTATTTTTCTTGTGATGAGATTCTTTAGACCTCAAGACAAAAAAAAAGAAGGAATACTTTTGTGGAACGAGGCCTTCGAAAAAGAAATAAAAAAAGGAAACTACTATTCAACTCTACAGACACCTCTAAGCCCTTGCAAGGAAGCTCGCAGGTAGACGAGTATTTCTTCTTTTCACTTACACTCGTCGTATCCACCAGTGTCCGACTTGGGTCAGATCGAGTCATGAAAAATTTGACCCACATTGGCACTGATACTCACACCATTAGGTTCATTGTAATGAAAACTCAACCTTTTGTTTTTCTATAAACCTTTGATATTTGTCATTGTAAGTTCATGAATCCTTTTATATAATTCTTTGAAAATGATACATGGAAGGGTTAAGATGGATTTGAAAAACAGTAAAAAGGATTTATCATATGCTGTACTTCGATCGATTCTGTAAGGGTTTATGACTCTACGATTTCTTACACTTTACCTGGAAGAATTAAGGTATCGGGTAAATAGAGTTATCATTCAACGAGCTTTAGCATGAATGTTACTCACTATTTATGTTTTGATTCTTCGGTAAAATTTCGATCCCATGCATCAAAAATATGTAGCAGAAGATGATGGCCACAATAAATATAAATTGCATGATAATTTTTGTTTTTTACACACCTTCTCAAGAGAAAGAGCACTTTTATGCACGATTTTAAATGGTGATGTAATGCTTTTAGTATTTGCTCACACGTCAATCTACACTTTTTGACAATATGTAGCTNACATGTTGTTGTTCAGTCGTTCATTCGATTCCGACTCTTCGTGAGCTGATGGGCATTAGCACGCCATGCTTCTCTGTCAGTGACCATCTCTTTGAGTTCTTGTATGCTCATTCTCATGAAATCAGTAATGGTGCCCATCCACCTTGTCTTCTGTCGGCCTCGTTTTCGAATGTTTTCGATTTTCCGAGCATTATGGCTTTCTCCAATGAGTCTTGTCTTCGCATTATGTGGTCAAAGTATTTGAACTTCAACTTCGTTGTTAATGCTTCCAATGAGCAGTCTGGTTTCACTTCGTTAAGTATTGAATGGTTTGTTCTTCTTGCGGTCTAAGGTACTCGCAGCAATTTCCTCCAGCACCACAATTCGAAAGCATCAATTTTTCTTCGCTCGACTTTTTTGATGGTCCAACTTTCACTGCCATATGTTATAACCGGGAAGACCATGGCTTTGACAATACGTGCCTTTGTTGGTAGTGTGATGTCTCTGCACTTTAGTATTTTGTTCAGATTTGACATAGCCTTTCTTCCCAGAAGCAATTGCCTTTTTATTTCATGACTGCAGTCACCATCCATTTGTATTTTTGAGCCAGGAATACAAAGTCTGCTACTACTTCAACCTCTTCATCATCTATTTGTAGTCCATTTACATTTTCAGTTGACATGATCTTAGTCTTTTTAATATTTAGTAGCAGACCGACTTTTGCACTCTCTTCTTTCACCTTCAACAAGAGATTTTTCAAGTCTTCTTCACTGTCAGCCATCAGAATGGTGTCATCAGCATATCTGAGGTTGTTAATGTTTCTCCCAGCAATTTTGATTTCCACTTCTGCTTCTTCTAGTCCTGCATTTCGCATGATATGTTCTGCATACAAGTTAAATAAGTAAGGTGAGAGAGTATACAGCCTTGTCGCACTCCTTTTTCAATTTTGAACCATTCAGTTAGTCCATACTCAGTTCTGACTGTAGCCTCTTGGTCGGCGTACAAATTTTTCAGTAAGCAGATGAGATGACTTGGCACACCTATGTTGTGAAGTGATATCCATAGTTTGTTGTGATCTACACAGTCAAAGGCCTTAGTGTAATCAATAAAGCAGAAATAGAGGTCTTTTTGAAATTCTCTTGCTTTCTCCATTATCCAACGAATGTTTGCAATTTGATCTCGAGTGCCTCTGCCTCGTCTGAATCCGGCTTGTACATCTGGTAATTCACGTTCCATATATTGTTGAATTCTGGCTTGTAAAATCTTGAGCATAATCTTGCTGGCATGTGAAATAAGTGCAATAGTTCGGTAGTTTTAGCAGTCTTTAGTACTACCCTTTTTTGGTATTGGTATATAGATTGTTCTTTTCCAGTCCATTGGCTACTGTTGTGTTCTCCATATCTGGTGACATAGTGCGAGCATCACTTTAACCGCATCATCTTGCAGGACTTTAAGCAGTTCAACTGATATTTCGTCGACTCCTGGAGCCTTGTTTTTAGCAATGGTTTCTAAGGCCCATTTCACTTCACTTTCTAAAATGTCTAGTTCTAGCTCAGTGATTGTACCTTCGAATGTATCCATATTTCTGGAATCCTTTTTGTAGAATTCTTCGGTATGTTCGTACCATCTCTTTTTTATATCTTCTTTATCCGTCAGGTCTCTTCCACTTTTGTCCTTTTATCGTACCCCATTTTGCATGAAACTTTCCCTTGATTTCCTCAATTTTCTTGAAAAGATCTATGATCCTTTCCTTCCGGTTCTTTTCTTCGATTTCTTTGCATTGTTCGTTGATATATGTCTCCTTGTCTCTTCTTGCCATTCTCTGGAACTCGGCGTTTAGTTGGAAAAATCTCATCCCATCTCCGCTACCTTTTGCTTTCCGTCTTTCTTCAACCACTTTTAACGTATCACCAGACAGCCATTTTGTCTTCTTTTGTTTCTTGCTATTTGAGATATTTTTTGTTGCTTCATCCTTGATGATATCTCTAATTTCAGTCCAAAGTTCTTCGGGCATTCTGCCTATCAAGTTCAAACCATCAAATCTGTTCCTAACATTCACTTTGTATTCGTATGGAATGTTGCCAAAATCCTGTCTTGTTGGTCTGGTGAGTTTTCCTGTTTTCTTTAGTTTGATTTGGATTTTTGCAAGAAGAAGATCATGATCTGAGCCACAGTCAACACCTGGTCTTGTTTTTGCTATCTGAATGGAGCTCCGCCATCTTTGGTCGCAAAGTATATAATCAATTTGATTTCGGTATTGTCCGCCCGGTGATGTCAAACATGTAGAGTCGTCGTTTAGGTTATTGGAAGAAGGTATTTGCTATAAACATCGAGTTATTCTGGCAGAATTCCACTAATCTATCTCCTGCTTCATTTCACACGCCAAGGCCGAATTTTCCAGTTATTCCAGATGTTGTTATATTTTCAACTTTAGCGTTCCAGTCTCCCATGATGACTATGACGTTTTTTCTTGGCGATGTTTCTAAGAGCTGTTGCAAATCAGCATACAACTGTTCTAATCAGTTCGGTTTGTTCCACATTTGTCGTTGGAGCATAGACTTGAATCACCGTAATCTTGATTGGCTTGCCTTGGGGTCGAATTGAAATCATACTGTCATTATTTTGGTTGCATCCGAGCACCGAGTGGAACACCACTTTGTTCGCAATGATGGCCACACCATTTCTTCTTTCAGTTTCTTGTCCACAGTAGAATATCTGGTGTTCGTCCGACGTGAAGTGACCCATTCCAGTCCATTTCAGTTCACTAATTCCCAAAATGTTGATGTTCAATCTTGACATTTCGGCTTTTACCACATCGAGTTTGCCCTGGTTCATTGTTCCGACATTTCATGTTCCAATTGTATATGATTCTTTGCAGCATCGCATTTTCCTTTCGCTTTTGGACACATCAGCAGCTGAACGTCCCTTCAGCAGCTGAACGTCCCTTCAGCAGCTGAACGTCCCTTCAGCAGCTGAACGTCCCTTCAGCTTTGATCCAGCCCCCTCCTCAATTTCAAGGCTACGGCTACTCATCCTTGGGTCTGTCCCGGTAGCTGTTTGGGTACCTTCCGACCTGAGGGGCTCCTCTTCCAGTATCATGTTGAGATTGCTCTGGTTGTAATTGTTCACTTAGGTTTTCTTGGCAAAAATCCTGGAGTGGGTTGCCATTTCCT